GAAAGTAGACAAACCTACAGAATGGATCCATCCTTTAGTTATAGTGGAAAAATGTAATGGTGATCTCAGACTTTGCCTGGATCCAAAACATTTAAATAAGTCTATAAAACGTGAGCACTTCTTAATTCCTTCCTTAGATGAAATAACTGCTAAGCTAAGCAATAAACAATTCTTCACTGTGCTTGACATGAAGGATGGTTATTGGCAAGTGTGTCTAGATGATCCCAGTGCAGATTTATGCACCTTTGGTACTCCCTTTGGAAGGTATCAGTTCACTAGACTAGCTTTTGGCATATGCTCTGCCCCCGAAGTATTTCAGAAAAAAAACTATGAAATATTTGGTGATCTAAAAGGGGTTGGGTTGTATTTTGATGATTTGATAATCACAGGTGAGACAGAGAATGAACATGATGAAAATTTAAGACTTGTATTGGATAGGGCTTTGAAGTATAATATAAAGTTCAACAAATCAAAAATGCAATTTAAACAAAGTAGTGTTAAATTTATGGGCCAGATATTTTCAAAAAAAGGAGTTGAAACAAATCAAAATTATGTTAATGCTATCTTGAATATGCCAAATCCTCAAAATAAAAAAGATTTATTACGCTTTCTAGGCATGGTGAAATACATTGGCAAATTTATTCCTAATTTATCAAAAATTACTGCGCCTTTAAGAAATCTAACTAGACTTGATGTAGAATGGCAGTGGAGTGATGAACATGAGTCAACTATTCATCAATTGAAAAATTTACTGACGAATGCACCTGTACTGTCATTTTTTGATCCAACAAAACCATCAGAAATAGAAACTGATAGTTCAAAAGATGGATTAGGTGCGTGTTTATTGCAAGAAGGTCACCCATCAGTGGCATTTGCATCACGAAGTTTGACTAAAACTGAAGAAAAATATGCCCAAATTGAAAAAGAGGCACTGGCGATTCTTTTTGCAGCACAAAAATTTCATTATTTTATTTATGGACTAGATGTTAAAGTACATAGTGATCATAAACCTTTAGAAACTATTTTTAAAAAAGACATTCAAGCCATTTCACCTAGACTTCAACGCATTCGACTGAAACTATTATACTACAATTTAAATGTTACTTATAGACGAGGAAAATATATGTATATATCAGATACATTGTCCAGAGCATTCTTGACTAATGATCAGGGATTGAAATCGAATGCAGAAATTGAATATGCTGTGCATTCATTATGTAATTATTTGCCATTGTCTGAAAAAAGAAAAGAGCAGTTTAAACGTGAAACATTAAATGACACTAATTTAAAAATAGTGATTGAATTTGTAACCAATTCATGGCCACATAATAAAGCTAACATACCTGAAAATGTTAAAATTTATCACAAACTCAAAGACAAACTCTCTATGTATGACAATTTGCTGTTTTTAGAAAATAAATTGATAGTACCTACGGTACTTCGTAATGAAATGTTGAAACTCTTACATGAAGGTCATTTTGGCATTGAAAAAACTAAAGCTCTGGCACGAAAAACATTTTATTGGCCTGGGTTAACAAATAATATAGAAAATTTCAGCAAATCATGTAAGGTCTGTGAAAAATATGCACGTCAGAATAAAAAAGAAACTTTAATGCCATATCCAATACCTAATCGTCCGTGGGAACGTTTAGGAACAGACATTTTCACTTTTGCAAATATAAGTTATGTTGTTTTATTTGATGCCTATTCTAATTGGCTAGAATTACTACAAATTAAATCTAAAAGTGCACAATCTGTAATAAATCAAATTCAATCTGTGTTTGCAAGATTTGGACCACCAGATATTCTAGTTGCTGATAATGTACCCTTCAATAGTGAATGCTTTAGAAAATTTGCTGAAGATTGGAATTTCAGATTGATTCTTAGAAGCCCAAATTTTCCCAGATCCAATGGATTGGCAGAAAAGGCCGTGTCAATTTCAAAAAATATAATTAAAAAAGCATTGGCAGGAGGTAAAGATATAGAGTTATCATTACTAAATTATAGAAATATGCCTCTTAAGAATATGGCCTACTCGCCATCACAGTTGTTGAACAGCCGCAGATGCAAAACAAATGTACCAACTTCAGTAGATTTGCTAAAACCTGAATTATGTCAAGATGTTATTGAGAGAATACAATCAAAGAGGGACTTAGGTAAGAAATATTTTGACAAAAGTGCTTCACATCAAAAACCATTGAAGAAAGGAGATAATGTCACTATTTACGATCATGTAACTAAAACTTGGGACTCAGGTAAAATAGTAGATAGTCATTCAGCCCCTAGGTCTTATATTGTAATGAATAATGTAGGAAATCATGTTAGACGAAACAGACACGATTTACGATTATCTAAGAATCCTCACAAAAGAGAGATCAATGAAAATAATTTTATTGTAAACGAAAATGATAATGCTACATGTAAAGCTGAGTCTATTCATGGTAATTACAGTCTTGAGTCATCACCCGGTAGAAATGATAGTTCTAGTTCATCCACACAGAATAGACTAAGCAATAGTTATGAGCAAAACTGTAATGTGCAACCTGCTGCTCCTGCTCAACCAACCAATAGTAACACTGTCGTGAGTACTAGATCAGGTCGACTTGTTAAAAAACCTGCAAGGCTCAATCTGTGAAGGGGAAAAGATGTATTATGATGTCAATTGTAAGTTGGCATTACTGCCTACTATTTATATATGTTTTGTGTTCTATGTCCCATTAGGTCATATTGACGTTCTTGACATTATGACAGGCGACATTGCGTGGTCTTATAAGGGACTAGGGGATATGAGGCATTACCTTCTAGAACATGGATGTGACCACATGTTTATAGTTAGTGCTAGTTGTAACATTCTGGAAGTTCAACAATATAATATAACATCTTGTAACTAGTTGTATTATTACCGATCCACAAGATATTATACACTTACAGATACCAAATTATCTAGAAACCGTAAAACAATGTAACAACTTTGTGATCCCTACCTTCAGTTGCCTTGAAATTTTCGAAAACATCACTAAATTACCTAATAAATTCTGCTCTGGACCAGATGGTGTTCCACATTTTCTCTTGAAAAAATGTCTTTGTACACTTGCAACACCACTAGAACACATATTCAATCGTTCATTGCAGACATGCTGCTTTCCCGCTTACAGGAAGAACAGTTATATTACTCCTATTTTCAAATCTGGGAACCGGGAAGATATTACTAATTATAGAGGCATATGTATTCAATCAACTATTCCCAAAATGCTAGATAAAATGGTAACAGCCTATCTGTCAGCACAAATTTCGAATATAATCATTACTGAACAACATGGTTTCTGCTCTGGTAAATCTACCATTAGTAACCTCTTAACATATCAGAACTTCCTGTTGAACGCCTTTGAGAATAAAACCCAAGTTGATAGTATCTATACCGATTTTTCAAAGGCGTTTGACAGGGTGAGTCATACTTTATTAATAGCAAAACTTAGTGATATGGGTATCAATCTTGGTTTGGTAGCATGGATTGAAAGTTTCTTAGTTGGTCGTCAACAGCAGGTGAGGATCAAAAGTTATTTATCTAACGTAATTCCAGTACTGTCAGGAGTTCCTCAAGGCTCTCATTGTAGACCGTTACTTTTCAATTTGTTTGTCAACGATATTAGCAAATATATTTTTCACTCTGTTTTTACATTATATGCTGATGACTTCAAAATATATAAAGAAATTCAGCATCATATGGATATTGATCTGCTGCACTCTGATTTGAATAACTTCCACGTCTGGTCTAGAGTTAATTACTTGGACCTCAATATTTCAAAGTGTTTTTGTATCACTTTCTCAATGGGTCATAATTATATTGAAAACGCTTATAGAATAAATAACTCTGTATTGAAGAGAGTCAATGAGATAAAGGACTTAGGCATAATATTCGATATTAAACTAACTTTTAGAAGTCATATTACTAAGGTAGTGAACACTGCATCAAGGAACTTAGGTTTTATTACTAGGAACAGTAAACAATTCTCTCCTGAAACACTTAGTTCACTTTAGTGCCATCTGGTTAGACCTTCACTTGAGTATGGTTCCATCATTTGGAGGCCTTTTTATCAAATACATATTGATAGTTTAGAGCGAATTCAGAAAAGGTTCCTGAGAACATATTCATATCGCAAGAGTTATCATGTTGCTCATATAAACTACCCAGATATCTTAATGGAACTTAATCTACTAACTTTAGAAAATCGTAGATTAGTGTTGGATATGTGTTTCCTATATAAATTGGTCAATGGCCTTATTAATTCTCCAGATCTGCTTAGTTTGATTAGATTTAATACATTGACCAGAACAAGAAATCCTCCTTTATTTTCCTTGACTTTTCACTCAACGAATTATGGCAACAATAACCCTATTCCAAGGCTACAAAGGAATTATGTCGTTCTTCAAAATCATTGTGACCTATTCTGTGGCAGTCTAGGTAAATTCAAAACTAATGTTGTGAAAACAATTAGGAATACCTGATTAATATAATAAGTGCTACATTTCTATGAGTGTATTAGGAATACCTGATCAATATAATAAGTGCTACATTATTTCTATGAGTGTAATTTTCATTGCTCCTACTATTATAATTCATATTTTTGTTGTAATTTTTTTTTTATAAAAATGGTGTAACCGTTGAAATGAATAAATAAATAAATAAATAAATATATATTTTCGATTTCCAAAAGTTGATTGCTTGGTATATGTCTTGGTTATTTCTCTAGCGATTCAATATTTCTCCTCTTTTTTTTTTGTTAGCGCCGCTCTTCGATTAGGTAATTTCCAACATACAGCTGATGTATGCAAATACGGGAACATTCAACAAGATTTGCGAAAGATGAAGAAACGCAAATATTCTGCCCACCAGAGATTTCTCTCTGTTATCATATATGCACCTGATACTAAATATTAAACTCACTTTCTTGTCGTGAAATCAAATTTTATATATATAAGTGTACTCAGAACATCCCTTCATGAACCAGAATATTGTTTCAGAAACTCCCACTCAAAAAGAGAAATTTATATGGCCAAGATCAGCCGTTTTACTCCTACTTGATGAAATTGAGAGACGAAAGAAAGAGATGAAATTGCCTCATAAAAAAAGGTATTTGTTTGGTAACATTTCCAAATGTCTCTTGAAAAAGGGGTATAGAGTTTCATGGGAATGTTGCGATAGAAAATGGAAGGGTTTACAAGCTACCTACAAGAAAATTACCGAAAAAGAAAGCCACACCGGATCTGCCAACAGAAGCTCCACTTGGGAGTTTTATTCCCGATTGGAAGAAATTTTAGCAGATGATCCAGCACACAAGCCTTTAGCCACTGCAGCAGCAGGAATAGTTAATGAAAATGTAACTCTGCCGAAGGCTCTTGGTGCAAGTTCATCTAATCTAGGAAGGTCTAGGCCTAATAAGAGAACAGCAGTATCTGCTGGTTTCAGTGAAATCAATAGTAATATTGTTAGCCTTAAGAATTCTATTGACCAAATGATCACCGTTCAGAAAGAAAGAAATGTAATTTTAGATAGGCTTACTACAGCAATTGAAACGTTCACTAAATCTCAAAACTAATATTATTATACGACACACTAACTATTTCTATATTTCTACATTACAAAAATTGCACTCTTTATGTCTTTGAAATCTTTTTGATCGCACGAAGTGGAATTCCTATTATTTTCATAGAACATATACCACCGTGAGTTACCTATTCACTTCCACCTATCCACTTATGAATTTAATATTCTGCCCGTTGTTTAACCGAGGAGGTGGAATGTTTATATATCTTCAGTTTTTTTGGGATTATCTCCTCGTGCCAATATACAAAGTGTCCAAGAAAATGTGGAAATCTCTGGGTTTGAGATATAAGGCCTAAGATTATTGGTCGTGAGAAGCTTCGTTTTCGAAATACAGGGCATTCAATATTTGAATCAAAGAATTGATTTTCCTTCATTAACTAAAAAATCATTCAACAAAGATACGAGATATTCAGGTGATATACTGAGTATCTGTAAGCAGACACGTTTGTGGTATTTTTCAGCTGAAATGAATAGGTACCAGTCGTGGCGTCGTTAGGACAAAATTAATGTTTTTCCACGGGTGTTGCAAAAAATTAGCGATAGACATTTCTTGAACCAGTGAACAATAGCGGTGAATAACCATTATTCACAGGTCTGGAGTTCCCAAGATCAATTACCGACTCTCGGACGCAGAATATCATTATCGTTAAAATTATTAGATTCAAAGTTATGGCGAACACGCCGGGACACATCTCGATTGTCTTCAATTTATACAGGGTGTTTCATGAGAAGACTCATATAGCCAAATGGTAAATAGGGGATATCAAGACTAGTTGATGTATATATATGAAAACATTTTTTGATCCTCCATAACGAAGATACAGGGTATTATGTGAAATTGCTATATAACTTTGATCGTCGATATTACAGAAATGATTCGTCGTAATCTGCTGAAATTAGGCAACGACGTATCACTACTGGAACTATATGTAAAAAAAAAATCCAGGTCCGGACTTGGGAAAATTTTATGTTTCATTGTTATGTCAAAAAAGTTTACTTTGTGACCACTTTTCTCGAAAAATTCCATCAGATTCAGAAAGATCAGACAAAATTCTATGAGAACTGCTCTTCAATTTACACAGCACACTTTGACCGGTTCAATAAAAAAATATGGAACAAAATCGTTCGAATGAATTTTAAATTTCGACCTGGCTGATAACTGTCAACTGGTATCATGTGAATTGATTTTTTCAACATTTTTATTGAACAGTAATTGACAGAAAGATAGACGGTAAGAAATAACACGATATTTTCTATCGAAATTCCAGATAGATATTATTATTCCTGACTTTGTTTTATGGGTGTTGCTTGAAGTGAGATATCTAGTAGGTCCTGTTTTTCATTTGTGTGACGAAACGTGACGTTTGTTGACAATCCGAACTGATAGGTAGGTACCAACTGATGAAATTACGACATGAGGATTCATGTGCCCATATTATGGTGATTTATCAAATTAGTTATGCCATCACGCATAAACTTGGCTCCATTTTTTGTTATTGATATACACTTCTACAAGTGATATAAGGATATGCATTTGCTATTTATTCAAAATTCCTAATGTTCATCCTCTTGAAGGTTTACTGCAACGTATTCTTGGGTCTGGAGATATTCTATGGTATTAAACATAGCATAACATTTGGATTTTCGTCTTGTTCAGCATTTGGAATATGAAGTGGCACCTAGAGTGTAGGAATATTTCGATTACGAGTGTTTACCTATCAACAAACGTCACGTTACATAAAATAAAAACAGGGCCCACTTTATAATGAATTTATAAAATAGAGTCACGAGTAATCATATCTATCTAGAAGTTCGGTCAAAAACTAATATGTCGAATCATAAAAAAATCAAAACTAATATCTTCTGTTGATTTCTATTCAATAAAAATTCACAAAAAATCAATTTACACGAATCCAGTTAAAAGTTGAGAGTTATCAGCCAGGTCGAAATTGAAAATTCATTCGAACGTTTTTGTTCCATATTTTTTTGTTGAACCGGTCAAAGTGTGCCGTGTAAATTGAAGAGCAGTTCTTATAGCATTTTGTCTGATCTTTCTGATTCTGATGAAATTTTTTGAGAAAAGTGGTCACAAAGTGAACTTTTTTGACGTAACAATGAAGCATGAAAGTTTCCCAAGTCCAGACCTGGATATTTTTTTCATAATATGTTATCTTGAATAGATTCAGTAGAGATACGTCGCAGCCAAATTTCAGCAGATTACGACGAATCATTTCTGTAATATCGACCATCAAAGTTATATAGCAATTTCACATAATACCCTGTATCTTCGTTATGGAGGGTCAAAAAATGTTGTCATATATATACATAAACTAGTCTTGATTTCTCCTATTAACCATTTGGCTATGTGAGTCTTCTCATGAAACACCCTGTATATATATATAAATAAAAAATTCATGAGGGTGGTCCGCATTCCAATGAGTCTCTTATTTATTATATGACACAATACTTTTTGCCGTAACGATATAGCGCATACAGGGTGTTTATAAATGAAAACTATTTTACGATTATTTTTGATTTCAACGCCATATATCTTCTCAAAAACGAAGCGTCTTACGACCAATATTTATGAATAGGAACTATTGTCATCTTATTTAATCAAGAGATTCTCCACATTTTTCCGGACACCATGTATATGAATGAAAATATGAGTATTATTTCAATATTTTAGTAGGTAATTAGAAATGTCATTTCGTTGATAATTTCACTTCCAGTATCCTGATATAAGAGAAATCTATCAATTCTCTGATTAATGATCAGTAGTGACACTTTATTGTTTGAAAGCATAATATTTGAAAAGAAAGAATAGCGTTGTATGGTTGTCTCACTTCCTACACGAAGTACAGGGAAATTGTTTATATTTTACTCAATAGCTATCTCATTGATATTGGTCTTACATTCAAATAAATGGGCAAATATATGGAGTATTTTTTATGGGGATTCTGAAATCAGTTCCAGAAAGTGCAAAAAAGCACCGTAAACTCAACAAATTTACATGTAGTGGTATGTTTTAAATGGAACATTCTGTATTTTTTTCAATGTCCCAATAGGTAGAGTTCTTTCTTCTAATTTCAAATATACAGGGTGGAGACTTTTTAGAAAAAATATTCACCTCCCTGCTAACTAATTTATTCCAGTTGAAGTCTCCACACCGTATATACTTCATTGAGGTTATCTTTGTCATTTCTCGAGAAATATAGATTTTTTTGTATAGATTCAAGGCATCGGTAGAACGCCAGACGACTGGCGATATCTGGTGTCTACAGCTGCTGCCTTATAGATTTATACGGAATATATTTTTCGAAAACTGGCGAAGCTAACCTCAATAAAGTGTATACATATTTGAAATCGGAAGGATGTCTATTATGGGGATCTCGGAAACCATAAGAAATAACGAAGATATGGTTAGATTGAAATAAAGTTGCGCATAGAAAGTTTTGAAATTTCGAGTAGTTCCGGAGATACGCCTAAAAAACCGAAATTTTTTGATGTAGTTTTCATTTTCTCCTGACTTTATTCAAGGAAAACAAAAGACACTTTTTCATTCCCACTTTTTGAGCTCTACAGAACAGCGTTGAGAGATTTTCCGAGATCCCCATATATAGACATCCTCATCTTGGACACACTGTATATGGTGGTGCGAGAGCGCTACGGGAGCGCACACAAAATATTGCATGTGATTTAACGTGTTTCATTATGTCTCCCATTCAATTTATCGCCGCCACTTCGGAAACGCCTTTGGATATATCATTTTAATAATAATTACAATAATAAAGAAATAAGAACGTCTATTATTATGAGAATGTCAATTCAATTACAAGAATACATATTATATTTTTGAATATCATATCATAAATATGTATATCACACAACACTGTTTTATACCACTAACCCGATCCATTTTTTTATACGCCTCGACACGTGTTCCGCTATGTTAGCATCTTCAGGATAACAAAATATCCTATTTTAGAATAATGCTTATATACTAGGTATGTTCACCCAACCGTTGAAATCCTAATCTAATATCGCTAAACATGGCTAAACTATACAGACGGATATACCTATAGGGAAAAAATCGGTTTGGTTATAGTGGTAAAACAGTGTAATGTGAATATATTGAGGATATATAATGAGAAATTCGTCAACAACAATTACAGAAAAGTATTATCTATATAAACTTGCTATGGAATATCCCTGTAATACAGATCATAGGCAATGTCATCCCTTTTTTTCCTTGCTAATACGTTATTATCAGTATTGTCAGTTACATTCACAAAATCATGTTGTGTTGGATGATCTGCATTTATGATGTCTTCTTCAATACTGATGGTGTCATTGACTATATAATAATTATCATTAATCAACAAAAAATTATGCAAAACACAGGATGCCACAACATGGTCTCTAATATATTCTATTATTGAAGCATCAAGATACTTCAATCTCCTCCACTTTCCTTTCAGTCGTCCGAACGCCCTCTCTATATTATTTCGGATACTCGCATGAACAAAGTTGTAGGTCTTTTGTTCATCCAACAAATAACCGTTATCCTTATAGGGTGTCAATAGAGTGGTTGATAAAGGATAAGCCCCATCTCCTAGTAGATGGCCTTCTCCTAGTAAGTGTTTTGACATATCCCTGATAGCTGATAATAGTGGACTTCTTCTGAAAACTCTACTATCATGCAGACTGCCTACCTCGCCGAAATATATATCAATGAACTTTAGATTTTCATCACAAACGCCTTGAAGTATCATCGATGGTTCTTTCTTTCTATTTATATACCTAGTCGATTCTTCTGGTGCCTTTATATTGATATATGTACCGTCTATGCATCCAACCACACCAGGAAATCCTGTTTTTTGTTTGATTTTTTTTGAGTCAACAGAATTTTACTAGGATCAGGCCATTTCATAAATTTTCTAGCTAAACTTGATACTTTTTTATGGTCTTCACATACACAAAATGTGCAGT